AGAGATACCATTTTGTGCCCTAATTTCTTATTTATGGAATACCAGTCTTTTCATGTACATGTTAATAACCATCAGTAATCCACTTTTCTGCAGCTATAACACATGGATAATTGAGGAAAAATAGCCCCAAGAAAGGCAAATATCTAACAAAGATGACCAAGCAATTCTTTAATTTAAAAATATGAAACATTCCTTTTTTAAGCTGAACAAAATGTTTTCTTCAATCTGAAATAACTCTTTTGGAGGAATTCTTGCAATTTCCAGAACTATCAAAAATGTTCCCCCTGAGCACTGAAATGAAAAATCTACTGCTCAGAGCAAGATTAAGTAGCTTAAATACAAGATACACTGCACCACCGTGATGATAAACCAAAGTGTCTTGTCTTCCCTCTATCCAGGGAAGCGTTAAAAGTCTTCAGCAGGAAACCATAAAGTACAAGTAACATGAAGTTTGAGATATCTCTATGTCCCTCCACTCTAAAAGAGTAAGAATGGCAATAAAATACTACACAAAACATTATCAATCACAGGCAGTCTCTACATAGAGACAGCGGGTCAGACCTTAAGCTGTTGTTGAAGAGTCCTCAATAGAGGGGTAAAGCAAGGTACTAGCACTCCACAGCACTCAAATTTATGAGTTGAGAGAAAGGGTAAGGCCCAGAACTGTGCCATCAGTAATGAAGACTTGTGGTTTTCCATCCATTTTCTGGTTTTCAATTCCAATGCTCAGCTTCCAGTAAGTGAACAACTATTCAATTTGAAATCTAGACAGATACAACCGCACAAGTCCCAACTATCACTGTATCATCTTTCCCGCAGTTGGAACTTCCCCAAGGCTACAGAGGGCTCTGTACTACATACCTTTTCCTTAGAGGGCTCAGCACAGTCTGGCTCATTCCCTGTCTCAGGTATCCCCCTAATTTCTGGGATCCTAGCTCCTAGTCTCATCCTCACAGCATTTCAGTTCATGTGCTCAGATCCAAATATGCCTCAAATACAAATGTCTCATATCCAGAAGTTGTGGACACAAACCTGTGGTGAAGCAGCAGGCTTCAGAGAACCTTCAGGGAACCCAAAGAGATAAAAGCTCCAGCAGCTGTATTCCCAGTGAGATTCAAGTATGCCCTACATGTAATACAGGTGCTTCACTATCTGCCACCAACTACTTCAACTCCCTTGCAGCATCTTTCCTGGAGTGGTCCAACGCTGTCTGCCACAAAGCAGATGAGATTTATAGTCAGCCTCAGCTTGGCCTGCCCTTAGGCTACATGGATGGTCAGGGCTTGATTAGCAGTACCCTAGATATGTAATATAAATATGTACAATGTGGTCAACTTCAGTCCACTTCCTGATCTGGCCTCAAGGTAAAATGTATCATTAGTCTCCTCCTTTTCATTTTAAAGGATGACCAAAGACAAGATGAGCTTATCATTAGGAAAATGCAAGTGCTTATTACTAGAACAAAATTATTGCTCCCATTGATACATTACTATCCACACACCATAGTATGATTCTGCCATTGATAAGCTATCCAAATTCACAGTAGTAATTCCTGTTACTTGATGTCCTGAAATGCAAATATATCCCTTAACAATATATGTCTATGAGTAAAATTCAGAGAGGATAACAATAGTACACAAATAATTCCAAAATACCAGAACAAAGATTGCTGCCTTTCAGAAGAATTATAAATATATTTGCAATTTACTATATGTCGGAATTACTTTGTGAACAGAAAAACTTAAACCTTCTTGGAGACAGAGTGGTTCTTTATTAGTGTAGAGAACATTAGAGCTTAACTTTCCATTGCATCACCTCAGTGTGATAAAACCTCTGCAAAAACCAGCCACTTACATAAAAGGCAGTAGTATCTGCTGAAAAGATGTTTCTCCCAGCTTGCAGTAAAAACTCTAAATTTTATCACTGACACCAACAGGCCCTTGATTTCACTTGATGTCCTTAAGGCTTATTAGAGACGTCAAATAATTGAGAAAAAAAAAAAAAAAACAACACCAAATTTAGGAATCAGAAAAGCTGTATTCCTTATATTGTTTCAAATAGTTAGGGCTAAATTGTAAGTTCCTGTACATTTGTTTAGGCACTGAGGGATAGCTTCAAAAAAACCCAGACAATGCATAACTTAAACAGGATTTAGGCGCTCAAGTCCTTGGCAATGATCCTGTTAAAGCTAAACACTTACCAGGCAGGCCACATCTACCATCAGCTCCAGACCCAGGGGCTTTACAGATACACTGGATGTTACCAGTGTCACTGCAGCTCATACAACTTCCTGGCAAACCAGCTGCTAGAGAAGGATTTGTGAAGGTGGCACTTACTGTGTGTGGTGTGTCTGAAGCAATGCAGCTCCCACTAGCAACACTCAGATAGGAAGAAGCCTTAAGAAAAGTAATCAAACCATTATACTAGCAAGAAATGACAGACACATATCCAGAAAAAAATCTTCCAAGCAGCTGACAATTATAACTCATGAGAGTAACTGAAAAGAACTGAAATGACAGTGGGTAGTCTATGTTTTGTGAACCATACACCATCAGGACGAAGACAGGAGCAAAAGCATGCCCTTTGTGGGTTGTGGGAAAGGAAAACTTTCCACTCTTGCGTACAAGCCGCGGTACAGAGCCTCTGTGCCTCACTCTGGGCATAGGGCATAAAAACACCATGAGAACATACACCAACTCACATGAAGTATTATGTAGACAGTGCAATTGCTTGTGGAGTACAATACTGTTCCCAAGGAGAGGAAGGGAATCACAACCTAGTCCTTAAATTGTACTCTGTTAACAAATGTCTGGTATAATTTTTATAGCTCATTCAATTCACAGTCCTAGCTTATTGAAATTATTAATAGAAGAGCCCAGAAGACAGTGATAAATCAGCACTGTCTCCTGGATCTATCCTCTATCCTTCAGTGAGTTAGAGTTGTGAAATAAAGTAACTGACACCTGATAATCTTCTCATTGAAAAACTTATTTAATCCAGTCTCAGTAATAGCCATAAACTATTCTTGGTGAGAGTTTTTCCGTTGAGATCAATATTAATTGTATAAGCAGATCCAGAGCACTAAAAGAAACGAAAAACTTTTAATTCACTCCTGTCATTTAACCCTAGTATAACACCTCATAACTTTAAATCTTTTGTATTTCTTTCTATCTGCTTCCCTTCTCGTCTTTGCCACCTTGTGAAGACACTGTGTTCTGCAGCAAATTATATGACACTCCCCCTTTTTGCCATAATTAAATAGCTGCTTCCTGACTTTCTCAAGTCAATGGAGTGGGTTAGGTAGTCTTCTTTTCCCCTTAGGTCTGCATTATGTAACCCTAAAACCATGGTTATTTCTGAAATAGAAAAGACAATCACAATTTTGTTTCAAGAGTCCAAGAATTTAAGACCATTTGACTTACAATCATGTAGTTTTACTCCTGCAAGACACAGAATTCCCATAAAGCGTTCTTGTGACAAAACCACAGTGATCTTTTGGACTAATATGGGTTGCTATACACCACTTCTGGATCCTCCCACATGCTCTGGCTACTACTACATGTTAGAATCATAGAATCATTTAGGTTGGAAAAGACATTTAAGATCATCAGGTCGAACCATTAAAGGTTGATGCCTGCTCTTATTAAACTTTCAGCCATTTAACAGCAAACCTGATCCACCCTAGAACAGATATTGCAATAGACATCTGCTACAAGAAGGTATCAAAGACTAACATTCCAAGCTAACCACAGCTGAAGAAGTCTCACATGTGTAAAGCACCACCAGAGAGGTTCAAGAATTATGGTGCATTCAACAGAAACTGCAGCTAAATTTTGAGTAAAAATATGAAAGCATCTTTATCTGGTATAAGGACTGAAAGAGCAACTTGAATTCACAGAAAATTAAATAAATCAGCTGTAAATTCCACCTGCCCCCCAATAAATAAAGAAAAAATATCAAAAACTATAGTATCTGTGAAATGAAAAAAACATCTGATATGCATAGATTATCTTAGTCCCTAAACTTCATTATCCTAATGACAACAGGATAAGACAAAGAAACTGGTCTTATTAGAACACCTTCGGACTGGGTTAACTAGTATGACTTACAGAATAGAAAGGAATTTCAGCTTCCCAAAAAAAGAAACAAATAGCTATATGATACGACTATCCTCTCAATGTGCTTGATGAATCATCTTCAAGTATCTTTAGATAAGAACAGTATGTCTACAGAAAATGTTTCCAGAGGAAAAGCATGATATTAACACTGTGTACTTGTATTAATAGTATCAGTTCTCCACTGTTTTATCATTTAACTGCCAGACATAAGAAGTGCCAAATCCATTCTTTAAATCTAACAGTTATTTTTAAACCACGAACAAACTATATTCCAAATTCACAGATGAATTGGCCTACAAGCACACCAGACAACCAGATTTCTGGATTTACTGAACGGTCCTAGCTTTCTAACTTAGCAATTAAGTCATTTTTACACTTGTGACTTGGTACTCTTACACAGATCAAAGGTAGTGGTGTGAACACTCTACTTTAAAATGTTTCTAAGAGATTACTTACGTTTTAACAAATTATTATTTAAATGGTTGCCTTCTACAGGAACAGAGATTACATTTTAAAAACTCTGGTCTAGGAAGTGACATTATGAAGAAACTCTTATTGCTAGCATATGAAGGATTATGTCTGTTCTGTACTAGTGACAGTTCACAATAAGCGTACAATAACCTAAACATGTGTACACCATATCTGTAATACAGCATTTGCCACAGACTGTATGATATAGTATGATTCGTCCTTATTCTGGGGATCCATATTTAGCATTTGCTTAGATTTATGTAGAACAATGTTCCTTTCAACCTTTTAAAGGGCATGTTGAGAAAAATAGGTTAAACTCTAATTTACACTAATTATAGGTTAAAGTCTAATATACACTAAAATAGACTTTGAGATAGACATTAAAAAAGGAAAAGACATCTGGTTACCTACATTGTTTATGTATTCAGAAAGCAGGTCTTGGAGAGCTTGCCGGATAGCATTGCACTCAGCAATGATGCGTTCTCGATGAAAGTCACGCGTGCAGGAAGAATCAGCTAACAAAGCCGCTCCACTGATAATAGCTTCCAGACGTTTCTCTAGTGATGGCCTTATTTTCTCTTCATTCACTACAAGAGGATCCAGGATAATTAAATTCTGGAAAACATGAGGAGTACAGGTAACAAAGGTCAGCCCATTTAAGTTGCTGCTTTATTTTTTACTTTCATGAACTACAGTGACATTATGCTTCCTAGACTTGCAACTAGCCCTTTCCCCTTGAAGTATCCAAAACACTTTAGAGCATGGCAGATTCCGTTTTCCCTACCAGGGCTATGCATACACACCATCTGCAGACAAAGCCAAGTTCTCGCTGCCATTCAGACCTCACTTGTTCTAAGCCAATATCCATGTTATCAAATCCTAATGGCCTGGACCCAGTGCTAAGATAGTGACAGAGCTTTCTAGTCGGAGCTGGTTCACACCTAAGCAGCTCACAGAACAAGCACAACAAGATCATATCTACCTGCAGGCCATGTTGACATCTGACTACAACTGCCTTGTCTCTGAGTCCTTCTTCTGTTTCCCACTTTTGCTGCACGAGATTCAAGATTTTCCTCCTCGGCTTCAGTCTCTCCTACTCCTGTATGTGGCATTTTTTTGTCTACCTTTATACATATGCATGCATTCTTATCACTGCAGTATCTATTTGGTCTATCAATCTTCAGAACATCCTACTCTACAACAAAAAGCTATCAACTCCATTTTATAAGCAAAGGACTGAGGCCCAGACTACCAGGTTCATGGCCATGCAGATGGTATGGCCTAAAACAGGCAACTGCATGCCATCTTCCCAAGTTCTCAGCCAGCATTGCTTTTCCTCTTCAAGTTTTGTCACTGCAGTTGTAAAAAAAGTATTTCTTCATTCCAATTCCTTCCTGTGTCTGTCTACACTTCTTGAGGGTTATCTGTCTTCCTTATCCTTCCATACAGTGGCCCTGTCTTGTATATTTACCTTGCAAATTCTTAAAAAGATATGTATCTTATACTAAGCTTGTAATGTCTATGTACAATTATGACACTGTGTATGAGTTTACTACTCAGTAATATGCCATGCTTTATCCAAGTATCTCAGACAAGAGTCTCAGCTTTTTTTGAAAGAGGGGTTCAACACCTCCAAAATTTAGTCTTTTAGAGGTCAAGAGGACCTCTGGATTTAACACAAAAACAGCAGTGTTAGCTCACAGCTGAAAATGTCAAATCATTTACAAACATTACAAACATTACATAAGCAGTCTACTTCTGTTGATTTTTAGTCTAATACAATCCCAGACTGCGGCAGAAAGTCACTGCTGCTACCTTTAATAGGCTGAGTATGGGCAAAGATCAAAATAGTAGCTTTTGTTCAACAACTGTTTTTTCAAAGGACATAGATATAAGTGTCCTTTTCACTAGCTAGGGTAAACGAAAGCAGACAACTCTCTTGACATGATAAAATTAATTACATTTGTGTGTCAAGGAAATGTTCTAAAGAGAAAGAAAAGGAGAGGTGATATTTTCATGAAATGTGAACCTAAGTATATTTGATCTTCAGCATTTAAAGAAACTGAAACTAGTAATTTTTAATCTAACTAAACATCTGAAACAGTGTCATTATGGTCCAGATCAACAAGCCTATATTCCACATAAATCCATTCACCTGTTACATCCATATGTGGTTCCAATCTTTCAGAAGAAATATTAAACAAGAAAACTATGCCATATATACTTAAGCGTAATTTAGGTCAGGTAAATCAGAACTTATCTGTGCTTATCCAGTATGTGCCAGACTACTTTTAAGCTGGAAAATTTTAATTATTTTTTCAATTTAGATTTAATATCACAATTTCAGGAACTGTCTAGCTTAGGCAATTCTAAGAGTAATTAGAACATCACAAGATAAAAGCTTAAACAGCTAGGAAAGGGGACTTCAGTCACCAACATTTTCTTGTTGGTTATTATTAACATTCTCTTACAGGTTAGGTATGATTTAGGGAAAGGAAGACTCTGTTATATGTTCAATCCTACAATCTTTTCTGAAATATACAAGAATTGTTTTGAGACAGCTGGGAGATTCTCCAGAAAAACTAGAGAAAAATCAGACTTCATAATCTGAATTATTTCCAAAGGAAACCAATGCACGTTCTTTCTGCATTACTGTGTCATTCAAATGGAAACTCGTATTTCCCAACTTGGAGGATCAGTGTAGGTTTCTAAACATTCCACCTCCACTACTGTTCCATTGCCTTGAAGTCCTCCATCTCATTTAAAAGCATTCTAGTTATTTAAGTAGTCTTAGCACTTCAGCCCCATTCTTACTACCTATTAACATACATAAAATCAGTGGACAATGAACCTTCTTAAACGACCTAAGACCTTCTGGGGCCTAAAGTTCTAGGATTATGTTATGCTTTGCACCAGAAACTGGGACTACATGAACTCTAGTTCTCAAATTTCCACAATGACTAAAAAGAAAAGGTACTAGTGACTTTCTGTCTCTCCACATTTTCTGTGTTGAATTTTGGAATTTTCATACCACTGCAGAGCATCACAGAAAATCAGGCCAGTGCAATTTTCTGTTGTCTATTCTGAGAGACTATAAAAAGTCTAAAACTAAGTTTATGGACTTGTTTCAGCAAGTGACAGGATAGACCATTAAAATGGCTTATGGGTCTGTGTCAGGTGTTTATGTGCATCCAGCAGATGCAAACATAGATTAAGTTAAACTATTAACTATGTATTTCCAAGTTCCTAGATTTTCTCAAACCAATGTTAAACCTATCCAAATACACATAATATACTAAAAAAGAGTTTATGTGCAAGCAGGAGAGAAAGAGCTTAAATATTCTGAAGATTAAAAACACAGCTATTTCTTTATCCATAAAAGCAGCATATGAACCCTATTTGTTTCTTAATTATTTCCTAATTGAAAGATGTGAAAAATATGTTGATCATGGAAACATTAATTTCACATGCAACTTTGGAACCAAAGCCAAACTAGGATGGAACAATAATTTGCCCACTTGCAAAGATGGAGCAAAGAAAACAGGCAGTCCACTGCTTTAATCCTCTTTTGCAGGAGTAGAGAAGTTAGAGCCAGTTAAGAACTACTTGGTAGTTACAAAAAGTCCAACTTCTGCCCTCTCCGAGAAAGAGAGAAGAAAAGCTGAAGTTTTGCCAGGGCCTGGCAGACCCTGCCATGAAGGCTAAAATCCAAAGAAAAGAAAGAGCACTTGGACAGAATGAAGATGGCTTGCTCTCCTACTCTGAAATATCTCCATATATCCTAACCTCTTGCTGGCAGCAGATGGAGCCAGACTAGCTCTCCTAGGCAACAGCATAGGAAGTCATTTTGCTTTTGCACGCAACTTCTTAATTGCCAATGCCTAGAGCCAGGCCTGATATGAGCAGTAATCCAGCTCTTAGTGTTGTCATCAGAAGCCTTCCTACTGCAGTTAAAACATTAAGACTCCCATGTCCTTTTCTATAACAGATATTTTCACAGAAGGAAGGAAATGTACCTGAGGACACTTTTCTGGAAGGGTGAAGGCAGTAAGATAGCATTTGTTCACAAGAATAACTTAGAGACACATTAAGAGTATTAGTATAGGACATCCATTTTTTCCTCATTTCTTCTCTTTGCTGAGCTTCCTTACAATTGTGAGATTATGACTGAATGCAAAGGAAAACTGCACCCAATTTACCTGGAGGCAAACTAAGTTATTGCACGTCTCAAACACAATATGCATTGCAGGAAATTAGGGAAATGCAGTAAAGGAAATTGTGAAGAGGTAAGAAGTGCCATTAAGGACTCTGAAAGGCAAGGGAAATTAACCCCTTTCAGCTGTCACCTCTCTAAGTTAGAATGCATAACTTTAAAAGCACAACCAAAATAGTTCTCAGCAGTAGGAACTGTGTTTTCCTGCATAACAAGCTTTTAATGACTGCATTATCTAGGATTTCGTTACTTTGGCTATATCCAAAGACACAGCGAAATTAAAAATGAAAAAGCTTTGACTTTAATAACTAGCATATTAATACAGAGTTGGAAAACTGCATAAAAATAATCATTAATGTTTAATTATTTACCTTTTTAAAAAATGTAATTAACTTACACCCAATAGATAATTTCAAACTAATCCTAATACATGAAAGACTCATCCACGATGATCTTTGAAGAATGACAAGGGAAGGCACTCTAAGATAAAGTCAGTTTCCACAGGTCAGGACACCCATTTCTGATGTGAAAGACAGGTTTATTTGTGTTAGAGGTTTGAAACTCTGTCTCCCACATTCACATTACAGTCCTTAAAACCAAAGCATTCTGTGGTACCTCACCCCTGCTGAAGCTGTGCCACTTGGTCACTGTTCACTGGAGCAGCAACTTCACTGTGGCACTGCTATGTCTCAAGTAAGGACCCTCAACACTAGGCTATACACTAGTCTACTCCAATTTTAGTGGTGGTTTCCTCACCTATAAATCTGTAATAACTTTCACATTGCCAGCACTGGCAAAGGAAGAATGACACTGTAAAACATCTAGATACTAGATTCTTGGGTAAGTTCCGTAATACATTTCCACACTATAAACATTTAATGAGATTTGTTCCCAACAGACTATTTACTACGTCAATCTATTTCACGGCACTGTATTTGCAACAAGAAGATAGAGCAAAGGTTATTTCAGGTCCTTAGCCAATAGAACTTCATGTAAAGAAAGAAAAGTGCAACCATCTAATTCATAAAATAATTTTAAGAAGTTAAATGCTCTATAAATTGTGCTTTATCTAACTTGCACAGCTTCAATTCCCATTTGTGTTACCTAGGTAAAAATATATTTAAAAGTCCATAAACAAAAGGCTTTTTATAACAGTTGGACTTCTATGTTCTTATGTTTCCAAATAAAAACAAATTCAATCCAAAAGACAATTTTTATCTATTTTGTGATTATCCCAAATCTTAAATTTTAAAACAATAATAAATTTAATTACATTTTTAAAAATAATTTAAATGGTACTGCTCATATACAGTCAAGATGAATTCACCTGCAGTCGGAAGATGCAATCCTCTTGCCAAATTTTGTTTAAAAAATTTGTAAGAAAATCAGGTAAATAATAGCTCTCATTTAAAGTATATCATTTGTTATTCAGAGTTTCATAGTTTTCATAGTAACAAATCATGTATTTTAAATGTTTCTTTTTTCTTCCATTTGTTAAGAAGATAGATTAGAAACTATAATTTTAAAACCCAGTTTGAGAAGCAAGGAAGGATGACACGTAACATGTAATTGTAGCCTGTTCCTTTCAGGGGGGAAAAGCCTTTCAGATTCAACTTTGAGCATGACTGAGAGGTCTGTTTTGATAAATAAACTGCCACTACAAGATATGTGTCATATTTCAATGTATTTCTCTAACCTTTCATTGAAAATTTTAGACAAAATCTATTACCATCAGTCATAGCACCAATTCTCCTGAAAATGTATCAGCAATATTGGAGTTCTGAGGCTGAGATCTGGTAAGTCTGAGAACTTACAACCAAAAAGACCCATATTTGCAAATGTGTTTAGAAACTTTGATTTCTTCTGTTGATCTGGGCCTACATTAGTTACACCAGACGAGGAGATCTCATCTACAGCAGGTCTTTTACCATTTTGGGGAGGACAATGGAAAATAACACTAGTAAGAGCCAGAGCAGCCATAAGAAAAAGGGAAAGCTCCATACAAAAGCTTAGGACCAGGTCAGGAGTAGAGAAAGAACTGACTTTCTCCAAGTATTTGCTTACATAGTAGAAGTAGAAATGCAGAATTTGTAAGAAATGCAGAATTTTTAAAAGCATATTCTTTATGTCACTTTATTTAATGAACAAGCAGAAAACATAATTAGGTTTCTAAAGCCTTCAATTATATAAATTACATAATGATCCCAATGACAAGTTTTAGAGTAAAGGACTTCAACTTGCATTGTACTAGTTCAAATGCAGTCAAGGTAGCAGCGATCACCATCATCTAATAATCACTGTTATTTGTAAACTAAACTCATGGGTTCTGCCCACTTATTCAAGGATGTGTCTGTCTCCATCATTAGTAACACACTTGGAACTAATTCTTCCCTGCTGGTCGAAGGAAGCCAAATATTGAACACATACATGAACACTTAATTTCAAACTCTTTTGAAGGAAGTGATCCCTCCCAATGAAATAATTTAGAGTGATACTATTTAGACTAGGACTAAGCAGAGCATCAATTTCTAATGCTTTTAAGTCCATCACTTATGATAGCAATAGTTCATTAAAAAAAAAAAAAAAAAAAGAAATAAACCATTTTTCCAAAAGTGTTGCAGTCTCACAGGTTTACGTACCTCAAGCTCATCAAGTGCACTTCCAAGAGTAGCTGTGTGAGATGTTGGTTGTCCCATTTTATTGCCAACTCCTTGGGAAGCATTAGAAATTACATTGAGAGCATTCTGTATTTCATTGCAAATTGAATCCTTGCTGGCTGTAAGGGATGCAACATCTGAATGTTCTAAACAAGCTGAACATATTGAATGTAGGAGAGAGGAATTTTCCTTCAGGGATGCACGTGCTGCAGCAATTTCATCTCGCTGATTGCTAGATTTCAAATCCTGTCAGCAAAAGAACATGCTGTTTATTTCCAAAAGCACTTCAAAACTTCAAAACCGACAAGTAATGTATAAACATATTTTTTTTTCTATCTCTACTCTGTTTAAGGAAACATCGAGTTAAATTCATCAAAGATTGTGAAAATGGACTACAACAGTACTTACAATTGAATCATCTTTATCTCACGAGAAATGAATAAAGTCTGTGTAAAACAACCCCAATTTTTATTGTGTCTTACAACCAGCACCATGAACTGTCCACATTTTGCTTGTTTTTAAGCACAGTTTTCCTATGAGAAATTAGCTGCCTTTCCTCCCGGACATGTTTTTCTTCATAAGCAATAGAGAAGGACAGAGGTGCAGACAGGGTTAAGCAAGGAATGCTGTGATTGTTGCATCTAAACAAATTTCCTGTGTTTGCTTTCCTGGCCCACTGGCATACATCCCAAGCACAATGCAGAAAGGAACAGCAGGTCAGGGACGAGAATCCTGTACTCCTGGGAAATGGGAAGCGTGGAAATGAAAAAGGTGCTTGAGAGAAGCCGTCTTTGTGAAGTGCCACTGCCTGTTTCTCCCCTCTCCCTGCTATGTACACACTTAAAGCACTCAGGGATCTTAGTACACTCATCATCTTCCTCCCTTCTCCACCCAGAACTTCTTGAAACCCTACTGCCTCCTGCTAGCCTAGACAACAAGGTACACAGAGCTCGACAGAGCTGCCAAGTCAGATTTAACTGTTTATAGGAATCAAGCTTGGGAGCTGTTAACTGGACTGTTGAAAGTTATGGACTTTGGGACAACCATACAGTCAGCACCAGGATTGTAAGGAGCCTCCTGTCTCAGCCTATTTTACTCTAGACATTCTCCCCACTCTCCTTCTGTATCTTGTCCCTTTGGAAAAAAAAACCCTAATAAGTATTTGCAAAATGGCTTGGGTGAAGGAGACAGTTAAATTCAGGGGAAAATAAAAAAAGGAAGGGAAAATAGCACATCAGAACAATAAAAGCCTGTGGCACCAGCTTCAAATGATGAGAAAAGGCACAATGAAGAATGAACGACAAAATGCATACAAAACTGCTCGCGGCCTGCTCTAAAGCAAGCTGAAGTCTTTCTAATTATTTTCCTTTGCATTGCATTCAGGCTCTATATGCATTATTTACAAAAGCATCACAGTATCTACTTCTCATTGCATAAAGTTTATAAGTTTATGGCTGAAGAAAAGAGAATTCAATACTAAATGAACCAGTCCTATGTTTTTAAAATCTCATTTACTGCAAAATATGCATTGGGCATAGGATTGCATCTTACTTCCTCAGGCTAACTTGGAAATCTCAGGAACACAGTAAAAAACAAACCAACCAACCAAAAAAACCCACCACAAATATAAGAGAGAGACAGAAAGAGAGAGGTAGAGCATTGAACAGAAGCAGACAATGGTTTAACCATCTATCATCTGAATTAGAAAACTATTTCTATTATTTTCTTGGGCATAATAATACTTAACATATTTTTACAATTTCAATAAACTAATATATAAACAAATCACCACTGTGCAGGAATGACTTCATTGCCCAGTGTACTCAAATCCAAATACCAGTCCACCTCCAACCTTGGTAAAGCATCTGCAATTTACCCAGTGCACTCTCAGCAAAAAGTGTTATTTATTTTTAAACAAGGACTCTTGTTCTAATTAGTGAATCTACCTTTCCTACAATTAAATTACAAGACAACAGAATGCTCTCTCTTCCCCTGTGCTGCAAGGAAGCTACAGACCTAGAGATACTGGTAAGTCAATACAACGCTTCAGTCTAGTTGCCTTCTATTCTTAACCATTTCTTACTTTGCCGCATCATATTCAAACAATTAGACTCAAAAGTCCTTCCAAATGTCTTTTTCCCTCCAAAACAGTACTGTCTAACCAGGAACAATGGGTTCAAAAGAAATCCAAAACTGGCAAGCCACTAGCCCAAAGCCAGTAACAGCAAGTCAATAACATGGCATCCGGAAACAGTCCAAAAAATGCAGTGTGTTAATGTTTCTAAAACACAGAATGTTTTGTTTCATGCAATATTGTGTAGAGTTTCAGAATCACAGTATTGGTAAATTCACCTACGAAGAGCCTCAGTTTTGTTCAATACCACTTTAAGAAAAAATAAAATTAATGCTTAGACCCATGAAATTCATAACTATTTTGTTGTTCAGTTGTAAGCCTTGGACAGCCCCAGAAGAAGCTATAGGGCCGCTGTTCTTTTCTGCCTTGATGAAGAATTAATTACTCAAGATTTTTGATGTGAACAGGAGGAGACAGCTGATAATCTTAGTCTGATCTTCTGCACAAATGAGCAAAAAAACCCTACAACTGAGTAATTTTTCTATCAAATCTTTGCATATGTGGATTATCAGAATAATGTAACTAGTTCTCTGAAGAAGGAAGTTAGTCTCTACAAACAGGTTGTTAACCCATAGTTCATAAACTTTTTCCACTGGAGAGAAAAATACAGAAACCGTCTGATTCCTTTTTTACTTGTCAAAGAGAATATACCACTAGGAAACACAATAAAGCAACAATGAAAAAGCATACAGTTTCTTTTAAGTTATCCTTTGATAGAACAATCACTTGAGAACTACAGAGTGTTAAAACTCTACTATGAACTATCAGTCACAGTTCTAAACAAGTTGATGGGCACTGTGCTGAATTTGAAAGACTTGCACACTTCTAGACAAGTTTCCAAACTAAGACCAGAGACTTTAAAAAGTCTGAACATTCAGTGTGTCAAATCTGACTGCACTGAAATTTGGACTCAAATAGGTACTCTGCACATACTGACCCTTGCCCAAATATACATTAACTTTGGCACAGAATGCAAGGAGACAACATGTTACTCAAGTGTGCAAAAGAATCATACAGGGAAAAGTATATACACATAGGACTGAAATATCTGTAAAACAGGAGAATGCAAACTACAACTATGTTTTTTGTTACTCAGAGGTTGTTTTAAGTATGGATGGATCATCTTTCACCTGCACAGAGGCAGAAGACAAATAGGACCACAGAGAAGAAACTTTCCAAACCAGTTCTTACTACTACTCTCCTCATACCATAATATCTGAGCATCTGTAGTTCATCCAGCTACATTGCTGAGTTTTAGTCTATTTTTCTTTTTCTTTTTCTTCACAGCTTACCACCTTCCTCTTATTTCAACTTCTTTTTAGGCTATTTCCACTAGTCTGGGATGTGTTCTTCCATACTAAGTCAGCAACTGAGCTCTAGATTTGTCATATGAGACCAGCTGAGATCAAAGATAAACCTGTCTCCAACCATTGCCAATCAGCCCGGTATAGCTGCTGTCCCAGCCCCCCTGGGAGATATTATTATGTCTTCCTCATACCTGGTTGTCCCTGATAAGAATGGGAAATGAATGGATAGTCACAGATTCCTGGCTGTGGATTGTTCCAGCCAAACATGGTGAATGGACAAGAAGACTTTGAATGGAAAACTTGAAAACTACCTTCACAGTTAAGCTTCAGTTGCACTACTTCAATAAGAAGAAAAAAAAAGGAAAAAAAAAAAATCTGTTCTTTATCACACTTAATACATTTAAGGTTTGACAGCACAATACACCAGGAAGCCAGCTCCTGTTCACTGAGTATTCGTATCAGCACAACTCATGTGATCCAGGCATCACTGTGGGTATAAATCACGCTGCCATATTTTGCACTGGCTGCAGTCAACACAAGGTTCGCAAATGCAGCTTCAAATAAAGTGCACTGCAGTCCCCTAGCCCAATCTTTGCAGAGACAGATGTCATTGAACTGAGTTCTATATCCAGGAAAAACACAGTCATACAAACCCCCACAATTTCATACTACTATAGTGCCAGGGGACAAAAGTATCACTTCTTATCACAGCTTAAACTTGGGCTTTAGTGTTCAGCTTTCAGTCAAAAGTGACTGCCAAATTGCGTGTATTTGGTGACCAAAGACAATAACAAAGCTCAAACTCTTCCGAGTGCATTCATGCACTGTTTATCTGGGTAAGGCTCCAGATTACGTATTTCATAAGTACTGTGTAGCCTTACGCAGTGGAAGAAAATACCTCACAGACAAGAAAGTGAAAAAGATCTGGTGTTGATACTGAGTGCCACATCACTCTTCAGCTGTGTCAGTTTTTCCAGGATAATACTACTTTCACACAGGTTTTGAAGGCTTTTACCTGTCAGGACCCTGAGAGAACTGTCAGGCCTCAAAGGCCCTCTCCAGCCTCAGCTGGGGGCTCCATCCATGCCCCACCCTTGGGCCCTGGAGACCCAGTTCAGCTCACCCTGGGACCTTCAGTCCCTGTCTGAGCTATGTTGTAGGAGTGCTGGTCTCCAGCTCAGCCACAGCTGCCCCCCTGCCTGACCACAGGCCCCCCAATTCAAACCTCAGCCCACAGACTGACCTCCTGAGCTAGGTCCTGCCCTGTCACCGCGGTACTTCTGAGATATCTGTCACTGGGCTGTCTCTCACCTCGTTTCCCTCATCAGGCCTGACCCTCAATCTGATCCGTGGACTGATGTCCCAGCTTGTCCTCTGACCTGCCTCATTACCACAAACTTCCCTGATGATCCAGACTCTTGGTTGAACCTTGTTACCATCACCTGGCCCACCCGGCTCACCTTGATGCAGGGCAGTGGGACAGGGCCCTGGCCGGTGAAGCCCCTGCCTCAGAGAGCAGCCAGCCCTCGCAGCACCCCCACAATGCTTATTTCTAAACAGATAAGCATTTACCATCAGCAGGAATCAACTTATAAACTCTGTCATAAAGTTAACCCTGCCCGCTCTACAAAATGGTAAGTTTACAGAAAACAGCCTGACCTAACGGCCACTTTGCTCCACCTTAGGCTTAATTTTAACTACATGAGTGACTGTAACTGTACAAGAGACAGACACAAACACACACTGGGAAAAAGGCCTGACTTAGGATAATGGCTTTGTTAGCACAAACGAAACATCACTAGGAT